CCGTTGAGACCAGGTCCAAGAGTCTTGAACTGCTCATGGTGGTACTCTCGCCCACGGTAGTATTACGCAATGCTTTCTTTGTTGTGTTCACAGTGACTGGTGCGACTGAGTCAGTCGAGCTGTAACCTAGGCCGGGTGCGTCATAATGTGCACTTGAACTGGTCTCGAACATTCGCTTCATCGTGTCTGTGGCGACCGTGGAGACCAGGTCCAAAAGGCTTGAACTGCTCATGGTGGTACTCTCGCCCTCGGTAGTATTACGCAATGCTTTCTTTGTTGTGTTCACAGTGACTGATGCGACAGAGTCAGTTAGGCCAGGTGCGACATAATGTGCAGTTGAACTGGCCTCGAACATTCGTTTCATCGTGGTCGAGGTAACCGTGGAGACTAGGTCAAAAAGACTTGAACTGCTCATGGTGGTACTTTCGCCCTCGGTAGTATTATGCAACGCTTCCTGTGTTGTGTTCACAGTGACTGGTGCGACAGAGTCAGTCGGGCTGTAATCTAGGCCGGGTGCGTCATAATGTGCAGTTGAACTGGTCTCGAACATTCGCTTCATCGTGTCTGTGGCGACCGTGGAGACCAGGTTCCATAGCCCTGAACTGCTCACGGTGCTATTCTCAGTCGTGCTAATATTCCTCAGCGTTTCTCTCGTTGCGCCCCCTGCGACTGTCGGGGAAAAGTCAGCGAAGGTATCGCTCAGCCTGGATACGTCATAATGAGCTGTTGAACTGGTCTCGAAAAGTTGCTTCACTGTGTCCCCGGAGACCGTAGAGACAAGGTCCGTGAGGTTTGAGCGGCTCGTGGTGGTATTCATCTCCCGGGCATTATTGACTGGCCCGTCCCCAGATTTTGAGCCACGGGACCCAAGCAAACAGATCAAGGCTAGAGTAATCCCACCGGCAACAGCTGTACCAGCTGCAACAGCCCAACGACACCGATTCCGGGCCCATCGCCTCTGGACCCTACCCAGGCCGTACTCAACATCAACAATGTCGAATATGTGACGGCGGGGGGGGGCGTTCCGGGTATCAGCGCCAGCCACTCCTCT